AGTCTGGAAGATTCTCATCTCCAAAGTAACCAGCAAAAAGCAGGGCTGAGGTGTGGTTTAAGTGAACAAGCAGTTAGCATAGGCCCTGGGTTGCAGTCTTGACATTAGCAAAAAAAAAAAGTATTTGAACAAATGTTTGAAAATGTGGAAATTTATATAAAAACAAAAATTTAGCGTTACTTAAATATGGTGATACCAGGTTCACATTCTCATACATTAAAACTCAAATTTGGTTGGGCTAAGAAGGGGTGTCTAAGTTGGTTAAGCATGCACTTTCAACTTCCCTAGTACAAGCATGGTGCTGCTGGCTCACACCTGTGTCCTAGTTGTTACTTGAGAGGCTAATGACAGGAGGATGACAGTTTCAGGCCAGCCTGGGCAGAAAAGTTCATTAGTTTCCCTTCTCAACCCATAGCTGGGCATGGTGGCACATACCTATCCTAGTTTCATGGGAGGTTGCAGTCCAGAGGATCATGGTTCTGGTTCCAGATCAGTTCTGACTACTTGTATTGTTTCCCTTCCTTACATGTGCTGATGTTACAGGCACCTGACTTTGCAACTGCAGGCAGGAGACACTGGAATATATACATGCCAAATCACCTAGTTGTATCATGTGAGCCTTGACTAGCTTTTGCTGTGTTTGCTTTGGGACATAATCTGGTTACTGATGTCAGGTTAGTTTGAAATTCCTGGGCTCAAGAGATCCTTAGACCTCAGACTCTGGAACAGGTAGCGATGGCTGGCATGCACTGCCAGGCTGTGTGGCCACTCAGAAGTAATGCAATAGGAATGGAAGGAGGCACCGAGCAATTTTTATCTATATACAGAACAGTAAAGGATCTTTTTCTTTTGTGAATATTAAGCTCAGTCTGCCTAGTGAAAATGTGACTGGGAATGGAAGGAACAATAGCAATGATAACTACATCTACCCAAGAGGGCATCTGATAAATGGATTTTCAAAAGCACAGGACCTTACACATGCTCAGCAATTACTCTACCATTGAACTTTAACCTCAGCCCTACACAAATGTTTCCTGTAAGAAAAAGGTAAAAGGGAATGTTTTTCAGCAGATGAAGTAGTAATGCACTCATTCACTCCACTGCCCACATGCCAGCACAGTGTTTCATATGAACTGACAGTGTTCATATGGAGATGCCAAGAAACATCATGTGCTGTACTGTTGGAGATTATAGTAGATTCTATTATGCTTTGCTATCTGGCATTTGCTGGGGGAAAAATGTTGCAACATGCTCAGTTTGGGAAATTAGTTCAGACTCATGTACATAAAATGTACAGTGTCTAGTTTCTGAAAAATGCCTAAGTCTCAGAATAGGAACTGTTTTTCATTGTATTTCAGTGATACCACTGGCTCCGGATCATGGTCCGGGTGTCAGAAGTAACAAGTGCAGCCAGGTGCCAGTGGGACATGCCTGTAATCCTAGTTACACAGGAAGTTGAGATCTGGAGGATTGCAATTGGAAGCCAGACTGGGCAGTAAAGTCCATGAGACTCCATCTCAAAATGGTCAGCAAAAAGCAGGGCTGGAGGAGGTGTGGCTCAAGTGGTAGAACACCAGCTAAACAAGTTCTAGACCTTCATTTCAAATCCCAATACTGCCAAAAACCAAAACAGTACAAACAAACAAACAAACAAACAAAAACCAGTGTAGAAAGGTCTGAAGTATGGCTTGGCTTATGTGGTAGAGCACCTGCCTTGTAAGCACAAGGCCTTGAGTTTAATCTCTGGGCAGTACCAATAACAACAAAAAATACTCTTAACCTTTAGAAAAAGTATTTGCTCAGGACCTGAGCTAGTTATATTTAGTTGACTATTAAAGCAGTATATAAGGAGAAAGAATTGATATTTTATACATTGTTTCTCAAAGGCTAGTTCTCAGACCATATACATCAAATCACTTGTACTATCATTAGATATATACATTTTTTAAAGCTCTCTAGAAATCACAATCACTGAGTTTTCCAATTAAACTTAGAAGAGATCTGTTAGGTTCATTCATTCACTCACTAAATATTAATGCTTAATTATTCCCAAATTGGACTGTTTCAGAAGTTATCAGTACTAACTACCACACTCTACATTCCATGTAAAATAAGCCAGGATAAAACATTTTAAATATATTTGATTTTTTCAGTAAATTTACAAGATTTTAAGGTTTCATTCAACAGACAACAGAACAAGTAAGCTGTCCAAACTCATTTAGCTAGCAAATTGTCCTGCTCCTGAAACCCAGGTTTGACTGTAAAATCTATAGTCTTTTTATTTTGTTGTTGTTGGCTGTGGGGCTTGAACTCTGGGCCTGGGCGCTGTCCCTGAGCGCTTCAGTTCTGAAGCGCTCTACCACTTGAGCTACAACACCACTTTCGGTTTACTGATGGTTAATTCGAGATAAGAGTCTCAGGGACTTTCTTGCCCTGGCTGGCACTAAACCATGATCTTCAGATCTCAGCCTCCTGAGTAGCCAGGATTGCAGATGTGAGCCACCAGCGCCCAGCCTAAACCTAGTTTTAAGTGTATGATTTTCTTTCCTGAATCCAGTCAGCTTTAAAATTGTTTTACAGCATATGAGCATTTTCTTCTACCCACAGAAACCAAGTGATAAAGTATATTATTTAACTGTCAACGATAGCTAAAAACATTCTACAACCATCTAAGAGATTTTGCTCCCCTAAAACATTTTCTTTCTTTGGCTTATCTTTCAAAATGAAAAAGAAGTTCTGGGTGGGAGGAGTATAGAAGCTTGGTTGGCTTGGGAGTTTTCCTCTTGTGATTATGACGTAAATTCCACAAACACTTCTCTATCCATTGGGCAGAAAATGTTCCATGAACTGTTAAGTATAGTCTTGGTTTTGCAATTTTTAATAGACTCTGATTAATGCTACCAAAAAGTTATCACAAAAACACCAGGACCAACTAGAATTTGCAGGAGAATTTCAGCGAGAAAAATATTGCCTAAATTGGACTGTGGCCAGATGGACAACAGTTGCCTTGGTATCTGCTTTGATAACATCAAGATTCATCTATATTTGAATTGCAGAGCCCACACACACCTTTCAACAGTCTGTAGGGTGCCAGGAGTTGAAACTCTTGCAACTATGCTGACATCAGTAGACGTTGCCACAGATTACACTGCATCTGCTCCAAGTGTTGGCAAAATAGAAGCACTTTTTAAAGCTGGCATACTGTTTCTAGTTCAAGGCACTAAAATACATGCTATACACAAGGATGATTAAATTCCAAATTCTGTTTGTGCTAAGTGAGAGGTGTTTATCTAGCAGTTTAGGACAAGGACACATGTAATTGTATTTAAGAAGGTTTAATTGTGAATGATTAAAGTACTACTACTGTTTAGAATTACTGAAAAAAAAGAAACACCCTCTCCCCCTTTTTTTGGTTGGTTGTAGGGCCTGAACTCTGGGCTTCAGAGCTGTCCCTGTGCTCTTCAGCTCAAGGCTAGTGCTCTACCGCTTGAGCCACATTGCCCTTTTTGTTTTCTAGTGGTTTATTGGAGATAAGAGTCTCATGGACTTTCTTGCCCGGGCTGGCTTTGAACCGTGATCCTCAGATCTCAGCCTCCTGAGTAGTTAGATTACAGGCCTGAGCCACCTGCGCCTGGCTATAAAGATATTCTTGAGACAGGAAAATTTGCACATGGACTGAATTTCTTAGTTGTATTGATGAAATTGTGTTTTTCAGAAGAAATCAAATCCTTAAGGAATTCAAGCTGGGTATCTTAGGGGTTTGCATATAAAAATAGTGTTTGTCATCTATTCCCATATCACCCAGTGACAATAAAATAGTATTAGAGGTATGAAAAAAATACAGACCACAGTGTTTACAACTCTTGGGATATAGTTGAAGGGTACAGTAATGGTCATTACATGCTTTTTCTTTTTTCACTCCCTCCCTCCCTCCCTCCCTCCCTCCCTCCCTCCCTCCCTTTCTAACCTCCCTTCCTCCCTCCCTTCCTTCCTTTTCTTTTTTGGAGATAGGATCTTGCTGTGTAGCTTTGTTTGGCTTTGAGCTTACAACACTCCTGGCTTCAGCCTTCTGAGTACCTGCCATGACAGCAGACCCTTCTTTTAAACTCAGGCCTTTCTACTTGATAGGCAGGCACCCTACAAGATGCTCTGCTGCTTGGGCCACACCTCTAGCTGTTTTTGCATGGGTTATTTTTGATAGGGTCTCTATCTATTCAGTCCTGCCTGCAAATGTGATATTTTTATTTACATTTCCCAATGCAGCTGGCAAGACAGGTAGACACTAGGTTGCCCTGCCTCTTTTGTTGAGATAGGGGTTTAGGAACTAATTTTTGACTGGGCTAGCCTGGAACCTAGATCCTCTCTCGCTCGCTCTCTGACTTCCTGAACTAGGACTACAGGCCCCGGCCAATGACTAGTCTCTTTTAGCTTTTAAATATTAAAACACTTTTATGATAAAACATTTTGAAGGGAAAATATACTGGGAGAGACTTCAGGGGGCAAAGGAAGTAGCAAAGACTTGAATAGCAGGGAAGATGTTGAATTTCTAGTAAACAGAAGATCTATAAAATTTAGCAGTAATGCTGTGGGCATACAGGAGATAATCATTATATTGATCTTTCTGTAAGTACCAAAGTAATGTTACATACCGAGTGAAATGATAGGTGAATCTAACACAAACCACTGTATTTAGATGTAATAAAGTAGTGAAACTAAAACCAGTTCATACATAATGTTTGCCATAAAAGAGGTAGAAGTCCTACATAAGCTCAGCAAAAATTACTTCCTGTTGGAGAGAATGCAGAAACACATCTCCAAGGCTAACAATAATATCATGGATATAAAGTCACAAAAAGGTTACTGCTACAACCATATAATTATCTGTAGAAGCAACAAGTAGTTAATTTTGGCTTCATCTCCACTAAAGATGTGGAAAGAAATTAGAGAAGATAGATTTGCATCGACATTATCTAGTGGCTAAGTATAAAATTTCAATTTACCTGAAAATTTTGGTCTTATTCTTGTAGCTTTAGGCGTCCAATCTGGAACGATCAAGATGATGGAGAGTTCGATTCGAGCCTATGCAAGGAACTATGTGAGAGATGACATCATGTTCTTTTAAAGAGCCATATATATATATATATATATATACATATATATATATATATTTGCGTATGTTCTTATCTATCAAGTTGTTTAATAAACTGTTGATATGCAAGATTAGGACAGTATACCCGAGAAAGGAGCGACAAGAGACAGGTAGAAAAAAATCCGCGGGTGAAGACAGGAGGCCGGGGAAGGAAATAAGACTTGGAGGCCTCGGCGTAGCGTGTAGTGGTGGAGAAAGGGTTTTTTCTTGGCTAGCTGTGGGCAGAAATGATTCCCTTCCCGAACTCCGCAATCTTCAAAAGTCAGGGAAACGGCAGGCGTGCTTGGGACCCGGGGGGCGTGGCCAGGTGCGCCATTGTGCAGGACTCCGCGGCTCCGCCCCGCCGCCCGGGCGCTCAGCGGCAGCGGGCCCTCCCGGCCCGCCGGCTCCAGTAGGACTAGGACGGCCAGTCGAGCGGCCTCGCCCCGCTGGGAGGCTCAGAGGGGCGGAGGGAGGGCGGGCCGCCGCCCGGGCAGCCGGAAAGAAAACGCTCTTCCAGCGGAAGTGGCCCTGAGCCCCACACGTCCTCGACGCGCCGCGTCCCCGGGGGCCGTCCAGCAGGGCCTGCCCCTCGGGTGGGGCCGGGGGCACACTCGCCGCTCCGCGCCGGGCGCGGGCTACCTCCTCTCCGCCCGCGTCCTACTCGGAAGTGCCAGATGCAACTTCCGCCAGGACAAGAGCTTTTTCTGGTGTCCACCCAGGTAAGTGACCAGACGTCTCAGCAAAATAGGGGCCTCCAGGAAGCCAAACCTGCGGCCCTGAGCGTGAACTATCTTTTCTAATATGGGCGGTCTGGTCACCTGTGGCCCTTCTTTGGGCCTACTTACGGGTGCATCCCTTCGCCGACGTCTCAGCTGTTGCCCCGGGTAACGGTGAGAGTGAGCGGAGGAAAAGTCTACGTCACACTGGAAACAGGAAGCTAGGAAATGCTCCTGCTGCCACCATCAATTATGGCTGCTCTAGCTTCAACAGTAACTTCCGATTGGGAGTTGTCTCTCTACCCTGCCGGAGGCTTACTCTGTGGTCCCGCTAGCCAGCGGCGTCCAGTGGGCGGGAGGCGGCTTAGAGCAGCCCTGGCAAGGAAAAAGGCGGAGAGAGGGAAGTTGGCGCCAGTGCCCGGTGTGATTGGGCAGTTTCACTGGCCACGGCTCCTCCTACTTTTCTTCCCTAGCGAATGAGCGGTCCTGTCGGGAGAGGTGGGGCGGGGCGGTCGGGGCGAGAGTGTGTGGAGGGGCGGGGCGAGTGGGGGAGGGGCAGCGGGGGGCGGTGGTTGGGTAGCGTCGCTCCTAAAGAGGAGGTGGAGGAGGAGGTGGAGGAGGAAGGCGGCGAGCGGGGAGGATGGCGGACACCCGGCTCCTGACGGTAAAGCCGGGGCGGACGGGGCGAAGGGTGTCTGTGGGTCGGTTCTTCTTGCTCGCCTTCCTGTCCGTCCGGCAGTCGGGCTGGCGGTCGATAGGGGGAGGCCCCGCGCTCGCTGACAGGCGGGAGCCCGCGCGGCCCGGGCGAGGCCCGGGGGCTCTGGGAGGCGCCGCGGCGGCCGCCGCTTGTTCGGGTGCTGCGGCCCGGAGCCCTGGGCCCTCGGAGCCCCGGGCTCCTTTGCGGAGCCGTCAGCTGGGCGGCGCCGAGGGCCGCCGGCCGGCTCTGACAGCGCCGGGCCCGGCCTGCGGCGGCCCTGCGGGGAAAGTGCCCGGGCCGGGGCGAGCCGGCGGCGAGGGCGCGGGCTGGGGGGCGCGGGGCGCACGGGGCCCGGCTCCGCGGGGCTCCCGGCGCCGCCGGGCCGGGCTGCGGCCGTCTGGGGTCGCGTCTCAGCTTGGTGGAGCCCGGGGGCTTCGCGGGAATGGGGTGGGGTCTGCCCTCGCCCATCCCCCGGAGCCCACCGCGCCCTCGCCTTTTCCCCCCCCCCCCCCCCCGACCCTTGGTGGAGGGAGGGGAGCGGGTTTCGGGTGTGTTGCCGGGCGAAGCGAGTCGTGGGCGCCCGGGGCCGTCCGGCCCTCCCCGCCCTGTGGCAATCTCCGCGGAGATAGCTTTTAGGGATAGAGGAAAAGTAGTTGAACTCCCCGCCCCCCCCCCCCCCCCGCCCCCCTCGCGACGCCGGAGGCCGCCGGCCCGAGGATTTTTCCCAGCCCCTCCGTATCCATTGTTTTGTACCATCCCCTCCCCCATGCCTAGGTGGAAGAATAATGACTCGGGAGCATTAATTCGCCCTCCTTTCTCTCCCTTTCTTTTCTCTCCTCTCTTCTCTTCTCTTCTCTTCTCTTCTCTTCTGATCTCTTCTGTTCTCTTCTCTTCTTTCTCGAGCAGAGGGTTTGTATTAACTGTGCAAGGATGGGTTTCCAAACAGGTGGAATCTTACCGATTCCAGAATTGGCAACACGCAAAAAAAAAAAAAAAAAAAAAAAAACAAAAAACCCACATTCTTTTTTTTTTTTGCCTAGATTCTCAAATCAGCCCTCACTTAGCGATGTGATCCTCGTCACTGTTCGTTCGTGTCACCACGGTGGTGATGGGAATAAAAGAGGAAGGGCTGTTTTGCAACCACCCCCTCCCTCTCCTCCCCCCCCCCCCCCCCCATATTTTCAGTCTCTGGGGATGCTGAAGCAAAATGAGGTTGCAGATGTGGACGGCACGGTACTTCTCTTCAGCGTGATAACTACCAGTAGTCTCTTAAACTAAAATCCGTGTGATCATGTACGCACTTCGTAGATCCACGCAGAGATGACTATCAAAACTTTTTGCTGTTTTTCGGAATCTGGGTATTCTTGGGTAACCAAGTATTTTTTTTAAATCATCAACATTGAAAAATAAAATTTAAAGACCTCAGTTTGTTAGTATACTAATTTTTATCCTAACCCCCCTAATTCCTTGGCCCTGAGGTTTATTACTGTGTATTGAAGATATTTAGCTATTACTTGTAATATGTAACATTAAATTGATTTACATGTATAATTTGGAGTATATCAAGTTTTGATAGGTTTCTGTGTGACAGTGACGTTTAGGGATAAAGCACCTAATGACACAGGGGGCTGACACCGAGTATGATGAATTTTTTATACTTCTTTAGACATAAAGTACACTGTAGAAATTTTATATTATTATGACTATGCATTTGAAAAACAGATCAGAGACAAAAACGTTTTTGTCTCAAGTTTGTAACTTACAGACTGCTTAAATGTAATGCATGCTAATATATAAAGTTATACAAATGAAATCTCAGTTTTGAGTTATGGACATAGCCTATCTCTATTGATTATTATTACATTTTCCCCAAGGTGCTTGTTCAGTATTTGAAGAAACTACATCTGTCTCAGTTGGCATGTTTTTGAGCTCGTTGTTTTCTCTTATTAGAAATTGTAATGGACTAGAATGATATTGAGATATATTAATTGCAGTTGGATTATTATTAGTAGTTTTTTAAGCTACCATATTCATAAAATTGATCAGATGTGTTTTTTGGTCATTGTAAGATCATACATCAATTTTTGAATTGAAAGCCATTGAGAAGTTTGAAGCATTTTCATACTTCAGTAGGAGCACCAAAATTATACATTATTTTGTTGTACATGGTGGAATTATAGGCTTTTAAAATATTACTGTTCTGTGACTTGGGACAGAACAGAATTCTTTGTCTGGAGACAAAATAGAATTTTTCATTTGACACTGAAAAATAGCGTCTGTTCCCCCTTCCCCCCCACTTAACCATATGGATTGTGGTGGGGGAGGGAGGGAGTGTAGATAAGATTCTAATGCAATGTATAACAAGTTGTATTTATAGTTTTGAAATCTGTAGTTTTGAAATTTATAGTTTTGGAATATCAAATATTTGTGAAATTTTATGTTTCTAGAAAACTTGTGGTTTTTGTTTTTGTTCTCAGTACTGAGATTTGAACTTTAACACCTTGCACTTACTTAGTTTGCTTGCTCAGCTGGTACTTTACCACTTGAACCATACCTCCATCCTGGCTTTTTGTTGGTTATTTTAGACATGGATTCTAGGAGATTTCTTTGCTCAGGCTTATTTCAGAACCTTGATCCTCTGGATCCAGACTTCTAAGTAGCTAAGACCAAAGGCATGAGCTATTGTTATCTGGCTGGAAACTTACATCCTTTTAAACTGTTCAAGGAATGTTTAGATTTTTTTTTAGTAAAAAAAATATTTAAATATGAAACCCTTTTTTATCTTATGATAGAAATACTCTGTTGGATGAAAAGGTACTTATTTTTGAGAGTGAAGAGTAAATGTGCTGCTTATGTGTCCATGTGTGGAGAAAAAAGATTTCTGCTTATAACAAGACAAAAAAATTCTCAAAATAAAAAAGCTAACTCACGACTCGTGATGAATTATGGGATTTATAGGTTGAATTTAGTGTAAGAATTCTGAAACTTTTCAATAAAAATATTAGGAAATTGATATAAAAATTCTTTAGCACTAATAAGACTGGTAAAGAATTGAAAAATATTTTGTTGTACATGAATTGCATAGACAGGCTATAATTCAGCAGTTGAGTGATACATTAAGTACTTTATATGAATTGAGTCCTGCAAATATTAGGTTGGTAGATATTTGTTATTTTTAAACTTTTAAATTTTACATATTATACTCTTCAGAAATGTGCTTTTGTAAATCAGTGTAGGCTGAAAGAAATCTGAAAAACATTCTAAATACTTAACTACATTAATTTAAGGTAAAGTAGTGTTTTTTTTCCCCAGATATTTTATCTTGGTTCCCATTTTTTTTTTTTAGCACAGTGTCTTTAATTCCTCAAAGCATAGCATAGTTCAAGCACAGAAAGAATATTATAATTTACAAGAAGCCCCGAAACTTCTGAGATGTTGATAGTATGTCTGCTTCTTGTGAGGGTATGCAGTTCTTAAAATCAAGATTTGAAAGAAAACTAAATAGACTTCATGCTATATATTTCATTCCAACTTCTGAAGTTCAGAACTGATTGCAAGAAGTAGTGCATTCTGGAAAAGGTAAAGTTTCCGTACAGGAAAGAATGAACATATTGCTTGTAGGTAAAACATTACAGGAGATCTTAGACAAGGATATAATTGGTCTCTATGTAAAGTATACCTGAAAGACAGGATTTGTTTTGCAGTCTTGTGCCTGGCAGGTTTTTTTTTTTTTTGGGTCCGGTCGTGGGGCCTGAACTCTGGGCCTGAGCACTGTCCCTCAGCTCTTCAGCTCAAGGCTAGTGCTCTACCACTTGAGCCACAGCACCACTTCCGGCTTTTTTCTTTTTGCTTATGTGGTGCTGAGGAATTGAACCCAGGGCCTCAGGCATGCAAGGCAAGTGCTCTACCACTGAGCCAACTTCACAACCCCCTTGCCTGGCAGTTTTTGTCTTTTGTTTATGGCACTATTAAGACATAGAATTTAGAATGTACATTGTTTGCTCTTTATAACTTATGTAGAAGTCTTATAATTGTAAGTAATTTTATAGCTGATAATTTTTTCTTTAAATTTTTCTGATTTTTTTTGAAGGAAATATGGAAATGGTTTGTCCTAACAGCTAATTTCTAGAACTTTGAGTTAATTTCATCAGATTTGGACTTTCTCAGCTTTTGTGTTGTATAACACTTCCTGTTTTCAAGACTTTTGGTCCTGCAAATAGCCTGTAGATTAACTTTTTACTTCTGTTCTCTATGTCTTACTAATGTTTTATATTCACTAATGTCATAGAACTTCTATTGAATGCCGTGTGCATCCAAGACTGCAGGGGTACATTTTTGATGTTTTCTGCTTTCAGTAAGTTTAGAGTTTGTTGCATGACCTGGGCAAGTCAGTAGCTTATTGTTATGCAATGTGACAAGTGCTTTAACAGCAGAAAATTCAGATAAGATTAAGACTCAGACTACACGTATAACTGGGGATCTTCACTGGAGGACAGGCTTGTATTACTAACTCTTGAGAAACAAGTATGATGGTTGAGAGGTAGAAAAAGTGCTGATGTTAGAGACTTCATTGAAGGACTACTTAAATTCCAGTAATA